TAACAGGACAACAGGCTGCAATAGTGAGCCCTGGTGTCAGGGAAGAGAAGATAGTTCACTTCCTCCTATGCTGATCAGGTTGAAAGTAAGGCAAGTGAGAGTACTTGACATTTCCAGCATGATGTCTGAAAGAACCGGCCCTAGGTATGATATCCTTGCAGAGACTCTAAATAGCCTTCTCTCTACCTCTGAGGCTCAAGATGAACTTTCTTACCCTCCTGCGGTTTGTAACAATCAGCTTGCAGATGAAAACAAAAATTATTTTGTTTTTAGGACAGGATTCATGCCTTAAACTGGTTTTGTGAATCACACTAATTTACAGAAATGATTGGGTTTCATCTCTAACTGGCTTTTCTCTGATAGTAACAGGTTGATATTTATTACAATGCTATATAACTTCTCATCATTGGCAACAAAGACATTCATGGAAGGAATCCCCCCTGATCTGCTCATGGAAAACCAGGCTCCTTTTCAGGGTAGGGCAAAGAAATTCAAATTGGGATCTAGGATGGAATTGCTCAGCAGTCCTTCCCATCTGACATCTATGACCAATAACGGTATACTAGGATGCTAAAGGTAAAGAGACCAAGCTCTTTTTAGAAAAGAACAATGCAGAGAAACTTCAGAATCTCTGAGGCTAATGTTAGAAATGTGATGATTGTTAAAGCCTTTCCTCAGCCCTCTTTGCAAGAAATTTTGCTGGAGACAATGCAAAGACGGTGGCTTTATGCACTCCCTCCTCCAAAGCTGCAGTGAGAATGGAGCCTTGATTGCTGCTAGAATAGAGAAACAAGGTACAAAAATAGAGCCAGCAGGGTGGGGGCATCCAAGAAAGATGTGATTTTTGTCATTCTTACCTAGCATTTACAATATCTGGTAAGATGTCCCCTAGAAATAATCCTATTATACCTTTTTTTTTTTAGTTGCCTTGCTGTGGTTTTGTTTTGTGTTTCATTTTTTAGTCTTTTGTAGATCTTCCCATCCTCCTTCCCCCCCCTACTCCCCACCCCCGCCCCCAGAGCTGAGGACCGAACTCGGGCAAGTGCTCTTCCACTGAGCTAAATCCCCAACCCCACTTGTTTCTAAAACTGAGTTTGTTAATGTCTATGTTACATTGCAAAACCAGTGACATTAAGTTTTGTTTTTAAATTCTAGCACTTTGTTTTCTTAGGTAGGCTAAGCATGCTCTTTCTAATCTTGCTTAGATTGTTGGTTTGCTTAACAAATCCTTTGCCCTTTAAAATTTCAATCTGTACAAGGCCTTGGGTTCAATCCCAGCATTACAAAACAAAAACACAAGCAAAAATGTACAATTAGTAGAACTTGAACAAAGTTCTGTCTCTTTGTCTCAAACTAAAACCAAGTTTTATAAGAACTTTATTTGGTTCCAAAGAGGGAAAAATATTCCTGGCTGAAAATAATTTACCCTTTGCTTTTTAGGAAAGTATAGATTCATGACCAAAAGCTACTTGAAAAAAAAATTAGAATAAACGTCAAAGGTTAGCTATTTTAGTTGAGAACAGGGAACTTTCAAACTTTTGTTTTTACTGTGATAGTCCCAAAGTCAGTCAAGAGTGTACCCCATTTTAACAGTGTGGGGAGAAGAGCCGGGGTTGCTGATGACTGCTATCTCTCCTCTCCCTCCCCGGGACATGAGCTCTGGTGCATTACTCAAGTTGAGTCCCTGGCTTAGCTTCTTATCCCAAAAATGGTACATAATTTTCAGTGTTAGCAACAAGAACCCACTGGAAAAACATCCAGGGTAAGGGAGAGCTCTTTTTTGGATGATGACTTCCAGAATGCTTTATTCTATGTCCCACCTGAACACTTGAGGCCACTTTCATATCCCCTGCATCTCAGGAAAGCATCCTCAGGAGCACAGATGCCTATCAGGCTTCCCCATGGCCAAGCTGCTCTCTCTGTGCTGTCAACTCCCTGTTCTGATGACTTCCACAGCAGACAGAGAACCTGGGTTCCTCCCAGTTACTTAGTGAGTTCTTGAACATACACTCTTTGATTTACACAGCTAATAGAGAAATGCCATCTTTCTCTTTGTCAAAACATAAAATCATGGTAGTTACAACAAAATGCATACTGTTACAACTGAAGGCATAAGATTCTACTATCCAACCATGAATGTTTATTCCTTTTCCTATATACCTAATACTAAGATGTGAAAACCTCTTAAGTGTATGAAGACAATGCGTAATACAAATCGTTAACAAACACACTGTGAATGCAATTGGAAATAAGTTAAATACCAGCAAACATTTGGAAAGATAAGCTCTGGTTTAAAGAATATTTGGATATGCTAGCTCCTTCCGCATTAAAAACAAACTCACACAAAAATAACAAAAACACAGAAAATCTCATGATTTTTAACAAATGCTATTTTTTTTTTTTGCTATGTCTGAACTTGATGTAAAAATCCCAAAGGAGTCTTCTTTTTTAACACAGGTCTATTTTTTTCTTCTAAAATGCCTCTCCTCATTAAGGTGAAAACATACAGCTGTTTTCAAAGTCACTCTCCTCAGATTGAATTCTAAGACTATTGGAAGTGCTGTTGGCAGGGTGCTTCCCACCTGAGGCTAGGGACCAGGTCCCTTCCTAGACCTTCCTCGTCTCCTGCAGCCCACATTTTTGAAACTGCTATTCACCCCTCTCCCTGCAAATGTGTGTTATTTAGACAGTACTGAGGTTTGAACTCAGGGCTTTGTGCTTGCTAGGCAGGTGTTCTACCACTTAAGGCACACCTCCAGCCTTTTTTTTTTTTTTTTTAGTTACTTTTTCAGAGTCTTGATGTTTGCCCAGGTGGACTTAAGATGCAATCCTTCTACCTATACTTGCAGTGTAGCTAGGATCACAGACATTCATTGCTATGGCTGGCTTATTGATTGAAATGGGGTCTTGGTAACTTTTGCCAAGGCAGGCCTTGAACCACTATCCTCTAGACCTCTGCCTCTTGAGTGCTGGGTTTACAAATGGGAAACAATGCCTTAAATTTTTTTACATATGTTTATATTTATAGGTATACACATACACTTTCATGAGGTGCCAGTGGTTCACACCTGTAATCCTAGATACTTAGGATGAGCCTGAGGATTGTGATTTGAAGCCAGCCCAGGCAGAAAAGTTCATGAGACTCCTCTCTGGTTAATCACCAAAAAGCCAAAAGTCAGTGGTAGCCTTGAGTAAAAATGCTCAAGGACAGTGACCGGACCCTGAGTTAGGTCAAGCCCCAGGACTGGCCCCCCCTCACAAAAAAATCATGTGCCTCTTCTCTTGAGGACTAGACTTCCTCGTGGGGGTGCTATCAGAGTCTGTTTGGGCACTACCCCTGCACAAGGCATTAAGCAAACACCCAGTGAAGACCTTAAATGCTCCATTGGTACGTGGCTGGAAGAACACTGGTGTGAGCTGGGGATGCCAGAGGGGGAATGTGATCACTGCTTTCAAATATCTGAAGGGAAGGGATATCATGTGGCAGAAAGATCAGAGATGTTTGCTTTCACTCTGGAGATTAGAATGAGGAACAACTGCTAGAAAACCAACAGCTTTTTGGCTCAATCAAGGTAGACATGTAGTGAGTTCTTTGGCACAGGCATTCAAGCCCAAACTGGAAAGCTACTTAACAGAAATGTGTTTTGTGCGTTAGTCATTGATCTCAAAAATCCCTTCCAGCTCTTGACAGCTTTTATTTTTCAAGCCCGAGGATGATACACAGATCAATTTGGAAACTTCCTAAGAGATTAACCAATATAACTGTCTTAAAGAAATCTTTTCTGTATGTAGAGATATTCTCATTAGATTCTTTAGAGGACCAAACCAGAGGTAGAGCCCTGGGAGGAAGCAGAGTGCAGAGGCTCTGCCTGTAAGGGCTGGAATGCCTTAGTATCAGATGACAAGCTGTGATGGGCTATGTCATCTGAAGCATTACCCCAAAAGCATGCTCCAACAGCTCAATTACTGCAGACTGATTTAACTCAAGATACACGGTGTCACTTAAGATCCTGCCTGAAGGCTTAGCATTTCCAGGTGTTAGCTGCACAATGAAGACATGGCTTAAAATAAAGGGAGAAGCCTCCAGGACACAGTCCTTTAAGGCACGAGATGGAAGCAGAGTTTAATATAAGATCCCTTACTCTGAAGACTTCAAGTGGCTAGGATACATGTGATGTAGGTCCACTTTTGTCACTGTGCAATTTATCCTCTGGAATGCAGTACTTTGTGGGTGATCATATCACTTAATTCACGCTCCTCCTTTTGTGGCACTAATGTAACTGTGGCCTTGCCCAAGATGATATCTACGGCTCCTAGATTGGTAGTAGGATAATGGAACACCTGTGCCTATTTGGTTAATGTGGGAAAGATAGCAGCCTGGATGTAAATGTGTCTCTGGCTTCACAGTCTAGCCATACAAACAAATAGAATATGTACTATTAAGGTGCTTGATAATGTTTAAATGAAGTACAAACTTTAATGTTGTTTAGTTCCTGGATTTTAAGTGTAATAGTAAATCTAACTGAAGGGCAATCTCTAGTAATTATGTTGAGCAAGCAAAGTTTTGCTTACTACCAACCATATGCACCAGAATAAAGGTATTAGGCAAATATGGCTGCTCAAGATAAAGCTTCCAGTAATTTAGAATTAGATTCACCACCGTAGGAGAACAAAGAGAGAGACAACTATTTTTAGACCAGGTACAAATGTAAAAACCTTCTTGAATGATGAAAGAGGTAACCTTAACTAAGATGCACTATACTCATACACTGACATTCTGAACTGAAATCCCTTAATGATAATAATTATATAATAATAATAATAAGTCTTGAAATAAAAGTTATCAATGAATCCAATAATCTATAATAATTGTTCAAATGGAATGTGAAAATATGCCATGATTTTTAACAAGGTAAAACATACCAGTTCCTGTACTTTGGTTATACCCTTCTAAGCTTCTGGCTTTTATTTTCATTTCAAAAGAATGACTGAGGCATTGGTTCAGACATTAATGCTATATTTATTATAGTGTTTTTATCAACAAACTTTCACCAGACAGTTCTGAGTGTGATAATACAGCAGGCACATTGGCTTCAAGGTTTGGCATCTGGCAGTCCACAGAATTGCATTTCACTCTCACAATTCTGCCACAACTCTGAGGATTGTTTGGGCAGGACCTATATCCAGGCTTTCCCATTAAATGATTAAATATTAATTTTGGTTCACTCTGACTTAAATGTTCTGAGTTCGCCATTACATCAGTCTGTGATGAGCTCAACTCTACTTTCCTCTGTGCCTTGTTGGTCTGACTTGGTAAACCAGAGACCTTGGCTTCGGTCCCTCCACTACCCTCCATATTCCCTGCGTCCTTATTTGTACAGAGTCTCCTCTGATTATTCTCAGGATCACAACATGCTTTTTGTAATGCTCCAGTGCTTCTGCAGACCAGTGGTGCTGGGTCTGCCATCCTTGGGAGATGTTCTTCAATGCTCTGAAGACTGTGTACACTGGCCTTACCAGTTTTCTCTTGGGTCTGAATATGCTGCACTGGGTGGAGGAAGAAATTCCTGGGCAGAGAATTCTGCATTCCAGGTGGCTGCACTCGGCCTTGCAGGCAGGGGCAGGGATGCATGTGAGGGATGGGATGCACGAATCCCTCAGCAGCTTGGTGTGCGGCTGTCAGAGGTGTCACCCCATTCTGGATCTGGACAAAGCTGCTAGCAGGAGGGGCACATTGGCGGCACAAGTTATCACCCGTGTGCTGGCAAGAGTGTGGGCCGTATTTTAAGGGTCTATATGCATTTGGGCAGCTACATCTCTGGTTCAGAGAGAAGAAGTGACACATGGTGTGCTGCTCCAGAGCAGGTGGTAACAAGGCGGAGCTTGTCTCACTTTTGGTGCTTTTGTTCTGTTCATTGTTGTAGGCTGAGTGCACAGGCATCCCTAAGTTCTTTGTTTGGCTGTTGAAAAATTCGGAGCAGATGTGTGTCTCTTCATAAGTGATCTTCTCTGAGGCAGTACAGCTGTGGGATGCCAGAGGTTCTAGTTCATAAAACTCATGCTCCAGTTCAGCTTTTTGGCCCCTGGGATCTAAATGATAAGCATTCATGGTGTGTGTTTTGCTTTGTTCCTTGTCACGAGGACTGGTAGACAGGGCATGGGAAAAGGCACTGCACTGTAGTTTTTTGGGTAAAGGAATCTGACCACAGGTTCCCTGTGGTCCAAGGCACCGACACATGCACTGGAAAAAGAAGGTGGCAAAAGCCCAGCTGATACACATGATGAGCATCATAAAGGTGCCTAGCTGGGTATAGGCCAGGACTGTGGAGGGCATCATCATGGCCCCAGCCACAAAGGTGGTCAGAGCGGCCATGGCAATTGCAGAGCCCATGCGACTCAGGGAGAAGATCACTTTGCCTTCACGGTCAGGATCTGGAGCCAAGCGGTAAGCAACCCCATAATGGACAGCAAAGTCCACGGATAAACCAACTGCAACTGAAATGGTGACAGACTCCAAAACATTCAGCTCCCAGCCCAGCAAGACAAGAGAACCGACAGTAACAAATATGGTCCCAGCTATGGAGATGATGGCATAGAGGCTTATGATGATATTCCATGTTGTCAGCAGCATCACACTAAATGCCACAGCCACAGAGAGCCCCATGGCAATCAGGGTGCCATCTGAGAGGCTGTCCTGAAGGTCATAGAACTCCAAATTGCTGACAAACCAGCCATTGCTGAGGCCCTCAGGTGCAGAACTCAGCTCATTGGAAATCCATGAGTCCACCTCTTTGTAAAACTGATGCATCTTCTCATAAGCCAGGGTGAAGAGATAGGTACTTTGGAACTCGAGCACCACTGCCCTGATAGTATCATTGATGTCAAACCTTGGTCCTGGGGTTTTGCTATCCAAGTGGTACCCTGTGCTCCTTTCCAACTCCATGATGGCTCTCTTGATGCATAGTTCAAAGATCTCCTGCTTGTAGGGGAAGCTCCAGTGGCTGCAGCATGGGTACACGGCCGGCTCCTCGCAGTCCTGATTTTCCATCCACTGTTTGAAGGTCTCGATGAAGCAGCTGGTAAAGTCCTGCTCATCAGTCTGGTAGAAGAATGTTTGGTTTCGCAGTTTTTGACAGAAATGTAGAATCCAGGCCTGGGAGGCTGGGCTGGCAATGTTGAAAGTGCTATCTAGTGTCAGCTTTCCTTTACTCTTGGGATTTAGTGGGTTGCCACTGTCTTCTGGGGACACACCCCAGATGACGGTGATGGGCATGTGCAGCTCCTCTCCGTGGTGAACACGCTCAAACATGAAAAGCTTTTTGTACTCAGCGTCGTAACGCTCAAAAGGATGGGACGACCTGAACACCTGGAACTCAGATAACTCCAAGGAGGGTAGCTTCATCTTTGGGTTTATACACACGATGTAGGCCCCGCCTACAGTTAAGGCAAGGAACCAGAAGAGCCAGAGATAGCGAAACTTAATGACAATGCACGGCAAGACTTTTTCAAAAAAAATTCGAGAGGCTTCTGAAATGGCAAAAAGCACTTTATGGCACTTCTGGCAAGCTGCTGTCCAGCAGCTTTTGTTATCATACACCTGTTGCTGAGGCTTCCGGAAGCAAGTGAATATATTGAGGAGGTATCGCTCATGCAGAACCACGACAGCTGGAAGCCACGTGACCATCAAGACATAATTCACCAATATAGCTGTTCCCGCATACACCCCGAAGCATCTGATTGCTGTAATGTTGCTAACATAGTTAGCATAAAAGGCGGCGGCAGTGGTAAAGCTTGTGACAAACATGGAGAGTGCGGCATGTTGCAAGGTGATGCTCACCGTTTCTGAGGTTTCCGCGTGAGGCTTGTCAAATTTGGTATAGTTCCAGACATCACACAGGACAAAAGCATCATCGGCTCCAATTCCAACCAAAATAATGAGTGCAGTGAGGTTCATAAAAGGGAAAAATTCAAAGTTAAATACGACACGATAGAGAAAGTACGAGACAATCAAGGAACTGATTATTGCGAACATTGTCATGAGAGTGATAAACATGGACTTGGTATAGACACACATGACCAGCAGGACGATCACAATGGCGATGGCAGGATACACAGTATCCATGAGAAGATAATCTTGAAACAAACTGTGTTTGATACCAAACTCGATCCCGGTGATGGTCGTGATGCCGTCGGAAGAGTTCCAGTTTTCGAAGTTGTCCAGGTAAATGTTCATCATACTTTCTCCTTTCTCTGTGGGGGAGAAGAGCATGCTATACTTTAAAGCCGGCATGGCATAATCAGCTGACTTGGGGCTCATGAAGTCCTTGTCCACCAAGTAATGGAGGATCTGGTACACGGCGTTGTACTTGGTACATTTGCGTGGCACGTTGGTACACTTGAGCTGATCCTTTCTTCTGGCTGCCATGTCCCAGCAGTCTGGCCCCAAGGTGCCATTTTGGTAGTGTTTGGCACAGGTCCGAAGCAGCTTCAATGTATGAGAGACATCTCGCTCAACGATTTTCTGACAAGATGATCTGTTGTTCAGTATGGCGATGTAGTTCCCCAGTGTCCAGCTGGGGCAGCAAGAAGCAGCTGTGGTTCTCTGGCAGAGATCACCAAACTGGGGATGAGATCTGATCTGCAGAGAAAGATACGCAGGACTGGAGTTTAAATGGATGCATGACTGGGAACATTACCATTGCCTGGATGGACCAGGAAAATTACCCAAGCTAAATATCCTCTTAAATTAGGTATCAGTTTGCTATGCAATACAAGATTTTCTCATATTACAGGGCACCTTATGAGTCACTTTATTTTGAGCAGGAAACTAGATAAATGTTCATCATGCTCTCTCCTTTTGTAGGGGAGAAGAGCATGTTATACTTCAAAGCCAACATGGCATAGTCAGTTGACTTGGGGCTATGGAAATGATATAGAAGTAAGAAGCCATATCAACAAGAGCTGAGTTTGGTGAGGGAGATAAAATTAACACCTACTTTGAAAACAACTTCTTTTTCAAATGACCATAGAATGCAATAAATATAGTGAATAGGTTTGAAGTTTATGTATGTACAAGATTATGAAAACAATGACCCAATTGACGCATTTCTGCATTTCAAATATACTTGTTATCTCAAATATACTTGTATCTTAAATACATTTTTGCTTAAAAATTTTGGATATCAGTATGATTTTTTTTATTGGCAAAGGTATCTCAATCAACACAGAGGGAAGCAAAGATGCTACTTGACCATTACTATGATCTGAACACTTATGTTCCCTAATTCCTGTTACTCTGCAATGTGACAATGAGAGGCAGGGCTTTTGGGAGGTGATTAATAAGATCAGTGTCCTTGTAAAGATGATTCCATAGAGCTGTATCAGGACACATAGAAGGTGCCACCTATAAAATAGATACCGAATCTGCAGGCCCCTTAAGCTTAGACTTCTCTGTTTCCAGTTACAGCAGTCTGAATACACTAAGACAAAAACCAGTAAACAAAAAAGCAATGCTGGTAGTATCCAAAACATGGCTTGAGATTCATGATGGATTTAGACTAAACTTATTTTTTGACATATGGGTAGGAATGGGCAATAGTTTTACATTAATATATTGTATGTATCTGATTTTAGTGTATAAGTTAATGCATAATTAGGGATTTAGCTATTTCTTCTTAAAAGTTTCTTCAAGCTGGGCAGGCACTGATGGCTCAAGCCTACCTGTAATCCTAGCTATTCAGGAGGCTGAGATCTGAGGACTGTGATCTGAAGTAGCCCAGGCAGAATGTCCATGAGACTCTTATCTTTAATTAACCACCAAAAAGTTGAATGTGGAACTGTGGTTTAAGTGGCAGAATGCTAATCTTGTGTAAAAAATCTCAGGGACAATGCCCAGGCCTTGAGTTCAAGCCCGGATAAGTATGTGTGCACACATGTGCACGCACGCACGCACGCGCGCGCACACACACACACACACACACACACACAAACACATATATACACACATACAGTTTCTTCAGGTTGGCTATAACCCTATTTTGGAATTTGCTCTTTTGGTAAGTAGAGGATTTGTGGACAGTATTTGATTTAGAACATTCAGGAGAACACTTCCTATTTTATGGAAATTCTTGTCACAGTAAATTAATAAGTTCTCTCATTTACTAGCATTGCTAGGTTATAAGAACTCTGGGTAATTCTATTTTGTAAATTAGATGACTGGCTCCTGTTCCCTGAGGGTGAGAATAAAATCCAACCCCTTTCACTGGAGCTTGACCTGAGACTTCTGTCTTGGGACCAGAGCTAAAGATGCCCAGAGCTAAAAATTCCTAGTCCCACTTCTTACCCTCATCTCTAATTACCAAAGACTGCTTTGCTTTTGTTTTTGTTTTCAGTCATGGGGCTTGAACTCTGGGCTTGAGCACTGTCCCTGAGTTCTTCAGCTCAAGGTGGGAGCTCTACTACTTCAGCTACAGCACCACTTCCGTTTTTGTTGTTGTTGTTGTTTATTGGAGATAAGAGTTTCCTGCCTGGGCTGGCTTTGAGCCATGATCCTCACATCTCAGCCTCCTGAATAGCTAGGATTACAGTATGAGCCACTGGAGCCCGGCCCGGTGTGAATGTATGATTAGAATTTACCATTTGCCTTGATTAAACTAGACTTTGTCATTCATTCATTGAAATATATTTCCAAAGTGGGGAGAAACTGATATAAATCATCTTTTGGGAACTGTGATTTACCTACAAACCAAGTTACTAGTGATCCCTTATTAAGCCACTACTCAAACTAATCTGTGAGGTGATCTGTAGATGATACACGATTGGCTATATGTTGGCAAGTCCTGAAGCTATGTAAACTGTACCCAGCATAGGTTTGACATTTTCCATAATGAATATCCCATAATAGTTACTTGATTTTAAAAGACACTCTAGAGGAGTAAAAAAAAGCTGAGACAAAAGGATTTTATTACACACTAAAATATTTATTTCACAAAGACTTCATATCTAAGTTTATTTCTGAAAAGTAGTGATTGCTATTTCATAAAACAGAGTAATACATACTATTCATAGCTGTGTTTAGGTTAAAGACACATTTATGCTAACTTAGGGAAAGCAGAATTACCTAATAAATACCAGAAGCCTGAAGTGGCATCTCCTCTGGTTTTTATGGCAAATAACCAGTTTTATCCCTGAAACAACATGTTAGTCCCCAGGTCTGGCCTGGTGAACTGAGAGTATGAAAATGCAACCCTGATGCTTGATAGCTTTCAGATGGAAGAAAATGAATTACCATCATGAAACTCACTGTCAACTAGGAAGACCCAATCTATAGTTGCTAGAGTATCTAAACACTAAAGCTAAATGAAACAGGGTTGCCAGCTAAAGCTAAAAAAGCAAGCACAGAATTCTGTCCTTTAATAACCTTTCCTAATAACAATGGGTTTTAAGATGAAGAAGTTGGACTTTTTCAATACAGATCAACTACTACTTTGATGGCTTCTATCAAAAATAAATGCTAGTTCACCACTGAGTTAATTCTTAAATTCAAAATTGGTGTTGGTTGATGTCTAACATTTGGAAAAACTGTTTTCGAGGGCTCTTATAGGTAAGAGGTAAGTACAGAGAAAAGACATTGTTTAAGTACCCCTATATTGGGTAGGAGCCTTCTGAATTTAAAGGAATGAAGCTCAAGGGACTGTCCACACTTTCAGGGCATAAGTAACATTGTATGCTCCTATCTGCCCATTCCAAAGAGAAAAATTACTTACTGAGCACCTGCACAAGATAAATAGGATATGGTAGTCCTTGCTTACCTAGTTGTTCTTGGGGTGGCAGAAAATCAGGCACAAAGATGAATAATTGTAATTTAATGTGATAAATAGCATACTGTGTGTGAGAGCTGACAGGACCCGCACAGGGAATACCCAAGTCACATCACCCAGTGGTGATGTGACGGTGGCTCTAACTTTATCATCTTGACTACTAGTAAACACTGAGATATGCATTATATGGTAAGGCTTACAGATAATGGCAAGCTGGTACCTCTTCATGGGAGGAGGCAGTTATAATTTTGTTGTATTTTTAGAAAATGGATTCACTGGAGGGATTTAAAAATCTTTGAAGTTTATAAAAATGCAAGTGGAGTCTATGGAAGCAATTTTTTTTAACTCGTAAGCCCTTCTAATTCTAGTTGTTTACAAATTGGATGTCTTAGGAAGCCATTTTGCCTCTGTGGTTATAATTGTCTTTGAACGCTTCTCTAGTTAGATAGTAGCAGGGGTGGGGTTGACTTAAAATAGGGGGTAAGGAAGAGAAGAGAGAAAAAGAAAAAACTAGCAGATTTTTAAATGCTACCTCAAACTTCCAAACTACTGGCTAAGTTGGAGATATTTTAAGAAGCTAAGTGGAAAATTAAGCTCTTAACACCAGGCTCAACTGACTGCTAGACTCTTCTTCCCCCTGTAACCACATTCCCTACACATTGATGTTTACAGGGAACCTAAGGAGGAGAAAGAAGGCAAACACTCCATAGGCTTCTTTAACGCAAGAACCAGAAATTCTATTTCTGGGCTCCTTGAAGCTGTAAGGGGTTTTAGCTATCCACTAATGTCACCTGGTAAGCCAGAGTCTCATCTACCAAATATCACATGCTTTTACAAGCTGAGTCCTCAAAGCACCAACATCCACAACATGTAAAGACTAATCTGGGAAAATAGTTTCTAGCAGAGTAAAGATTGGAGAAATACACTTCTGGTTACTAATGATTGTCTGGCGTAGTGTCCCTTAGGATGTCAAAGGGCAGAAGGAAGCAATGAAGGGGATCAGAGGAATTGACTGAGTGAGGCTCCTTTGAAAGTCTCAGCCACTTCGGATAGGACATAGGCCAGCCTCAGAAACAGAGCCTTTTGACTCTGGAAACCTGTGCCTCTCTGAATTATGAGTGTAAGTGGCATGTAATTTAAAGGGAATCTGGAGCTTGAACAAAATGTGCTGTAAACACAGGCAGGAGATAAGTGAGACATCTGGCCTCCCCAAGATGTTACACTGATTACCAGACGTTTTCTGGAGATGACCCAACAATTAAGCCCTTCCTCTCTGTATCACTTGGTTGTGTTTCATTTAACATGAGAGGTGTTAATAATCAAGTGCTTAAGTACAATGACCAGAACTGAAGGGTGGAAGGAGCCTGACAGAGAGTCTAAGGACACTCTGCTCCAATCACCATAACAGACAAAATCCTTAATAGTGGCCTAAACTGGGAGACTGGGGAAATGAACCATAATAATTTGAAAGCTGAACTATTAATCCAAGTTGTTATTTAAGGTATTGGATGAATACCTATGATCATTATAAAAAAAATCTCTTATCCTGGGCTCACAGCAGAATTTGAGACTAGACTACTAAAAATGTTTGCAATCGGTAAGAATTTAACAAGTAAAAATTATAACCACAGTTTTTGAAGTATGATTACCTATTCATTCATTTCTTGGTGTGAATCGAAAATTGGTTATACCATCTATTTACTTGGACATGTATATTGAATCTACCCTCAAATTCTGACAATATCATGTTTCTTCTCTCTTCCCAATTAATTACTGAATTGTACAGTTTTGCTCTCAGTCAGTGACTTAGAAATTATACTCGTCTTGTTCTTGCTTTCAATCCCTATCATGTGCCTAGGAGAGAGACATACTCAGATAAGAGTACTTCTACATTCCTTTAGATAGTTTAAATTATACAAACATATCAAGTCAAGCCATTAGAAAGCCATATCTAGATTTCTTTTGATATAACATCTTACTGCGACCACTCTACCTAAGGTTAAGTTTCAAAAATAAGCTGAGATTCAGTATTCTAGCCCTTACACTATGCTGTTAAGAACCTTGTACACAAATCATATTTATTTTATCAAGACTATAGTGTATGATCTCCCCCAACACCTTAGCATGAGGGAAAATTAGTCTGCTTCTTCCTTTCTCTCTCTCTCTCTTTCTCTCTCTCTCTCCCTCTCTCTTACTCTCACTCTCAGGCTAGTGCTCACTACTTGAAGCTGAAAAAGAGCACAGGATCCTGTGTTCAAGCCCCAGTACCAGATACAGAAGAGAAGAAAACACAGAAAATAAAACTGACTACTGTTTAAGAAACTTTGATGTTTATAGACTGACACTTTAGTCTACTTGGAGTTAAACACAGAAAAGGTGGTACTGACAGAAAATTGATAACACAATCAATGGAAAAGTTATTTTCAAAATGTACAAATAGTCTCTCAGAATGAAGAATGGAATAAAGCCAGAAGAGGTAGGCCTAAATAATGGAGTGACTTGGTGAGCCACTTAGTTCTTGGAAGGCACGTACCCATGTCAGCACACTGAGACTTCTGGCCTAGCGGCCCTTTAAGAGTCCTTTCTACCTTCTGTTCCATTAAGTAATCCTGCTGAGGCAATGGGGGGTTGGGTTGGGTTGTCTGGTTGCCCTGCTCTTAGCAGGGGATATGATTTTGCTTTTAGTCAATGATTTTCTGTTTTAGAGTTATGTTAAACACATAATGAGGTATTTTGTGTGTGTGTGTGTGTGTGTGTGTGTGTGTGTGTGTGTGTGTGTGTGTGTGTGTGTGTGTGTGTGTGTGTGTGTCTAGTGGCTATACCCCAACAGGTCCATTAGTGAGAGAAGACAGTGGTTTCTACTAGAGAAACTGCCTCAAGAAACTGACAGCTTGTCCCAACTCAGCGGCTCACTTTAGGTCTTCGGGTGCTGACATCTGTTTGGCTCTGAAGAGGAAGCGCCCGTCTTCTTGGATCCTGGTGTTTTCTAAAGCAGTAAGGTGTTTAAAGCTCCAGGCAGTCTGGATTGGATTACCACCACCATTTAGATAGGCACTAAATTTATGCCCTTTGATGTTCCCTTTCCAAGTCTGCTCCCTAAGTTCTCCTTTGAGGTCACTGGCTAGAATGACCCATTGATTGCCAAAGACACAGGCAGGCATTTAGTTACATAATTAAGATGCTAACAATATCTCGAGAGGAGAAATGTAGAGAAGAATAAAACTAGGTTAGAGAGAAAATAAAATCAAATAAGAAATATCAGTCTTATTATCTTCAATACACATACACACAGTGAAATAACAGAAAAGATCACTATGGAGAAAGAACATGGGCAGGCAAGGGAAAGCAGTTCCTATGTAAGGAAGATGGTAGGTTTGGAAGATAGGGAAGCAGGCAGGCATGCTTTGATCTTGGGCTCTGAAAGAATGCAAAGCTGGCCTGCTGGTGTATACTCATCAGTAGGTAAGCTTCTTAAGTACTTTCATCTGACCAGACACCAGGAATATAGGTATAAGTTTCACTTACATTAGCCTTATTTATGCTGAACAAATTTCAGCTGCATTTTACATACCCTGGAATTATCCACATCACACATTGATTTAATTGCAGGTAAATTCCACAGTGTCTCCCCATCTGTGGAAGCAAATACGACTCTGGAGTATCGGTCACCTGGTGATACGAAAAAAAGAAGGGGGAATGGTTTATAAATTATTCCTTTATTTGGAAAGACTGAGAATTTAAAGAAAGTTTAAGTGAGAAACCACATGGACAATTCATTAGAAGCAGGGAATTTCATGTCAATACAGAAAGAAAGCCTTTGTGTATTCACTACAGCTTAAAATTATACTAAATGTACAACAAATCTACTTCTGATTAGACTCTAATTTAGAAGAAAAAAAATCCATAAGAACTTTCAGCAGGAAATTAATCAAATGCCTCCCTCCTAATTTCCGAACATGTAGCCATAATAGTATATAAAATCAAAGAATGATGCACTAGGGAATATCAGCAATGGATTAGAGAGACATTCTCCCTGGCAGCTAACAGAGGAAGAATGGTGGATCAATTTAAAGCTCTAAAATCATAGCAGACCAGAGTACTCAAGTGCTCACCAGGACCACAGAGACCCAGGTTCTTACTGAATACAGGGCCTCTCTGGCACACCAGAGTCTAGAAAAAGTATTTTGGAAATCACATTAATACAAAACATGCTTCTCAATAAAGAGATGTGTAATATATTGGAAAGCACATGGTCTTTGGAGTCAGATCTGTTGTAACTACATCCTGTAATTTATTACCTGTGTGCGCTTATACCTCTAACAATTTCTCTGAGCCTGCTTCCTCCTTATAAAATGCTGATAGTGACATCTTTCTAAAATGGGTGTGGGAATTAGATGAGGTGAACGAAAGCTGGTGATCTACAAGTTATTAAAAATTTTAATATATCAAATAAAATGAAGTAGATTAAGTTTATATTATCTAAAAAGCCCTAATTGTACTAACAAAATTAACTGGAAAACTTAGGAAAAAAAATTGAATGTAATAGCTATTGTCTCATGTAAATTGATTTTAGGTACAAAGTCAGCCCAAGGAAATAACTATTTCTTTTACATAGAGCCTGTAATGGCTTTCACCAAAGCAGAATCTATATCTCAGGAGACAAATATTTGATACAGACTATTGAAATATAAAATAAAAACTGTATTTTAAAGACTTGTTAATGTTCTTCCTAGATAAGATACAATCACAGATAAAGCCCTCTGTACAATACCTTTTATAATAACAAAAAATTTTAAAAAAGATTCACAGATGTTGGTTAAGCCATATACAGTAATATATGTATACAAATGCAGTAATACTTCAAGAGAAATAAAGCAACCAGAATGAACATAGAACTAACCAGAGTTTGGGGTTGGGAAGGTGGCTCAGTGGTAGAGCGCTTGTCTTGCATGCATGAGGCCCTGGGTTCGATTCCTCAGCACCACATAAGCAAAGAGAAAAACGCTGGAAGTGGCGCTGTGGCTCAAGTGGTAGAGCGCTAGCCTTGAGCTGAAGAGCTGAGGGACAGCGCTCAGGTCCAGAGTTCAGGCCCCAGGACCGGACCCAAAACAAAACAACAACAACAAAAAAACAGAACTAACCAGAGTTCATTTTTTCTAATATCTTTTTTGAAGAGAAGAGACAGAAAAGTAAACTTGTATTGCTTTCTAGGATCAACGTAAGATTCTACCTTAGCCACTTTCTCTGGTTACCATATAGTTAAACAGTATTCAAAATAAAAACCCTGAGATTTGTAAAGATTTAGAAACATCAAAGATTCAAGCAGATCCTAATAAGATAGGAAAAACACATTTAAGATTGCTTTTCAGCAACAATATAAAGCTGAAACCAAAAGACCATAACAATGGTATTTTCTACATTGGATTTTTTTCCCCTCTTTTTCTTTTTGTGCTGGTCCTGGGTGCTGTCAGCTCCTTACGCTCAAGGTTAGCACTCTTACTACTTGAGCCACAGCACCACGCCCAGCCTTTTCTGCTTATGTGGTGCTGAGGAATCAAATCCAGGGCCTCACGAAAGCAAGGTAAGCACTCTACCACTAAGCCATCTTCCCAGCCCAGGTCTCAGCCTCTTAAGTAGTTAGGATTACAGGTGTGAGCCACCAGCACCTGGCTCTACATTGGAAATTCTAATTACCCATAATTCCTCATTCCTAATCACTGAGGCTAATCAATGTCACACAAGTTCATCTGTACTTCCGCTATGCCTTGGGTTCCTTCTTCCTGGGCAGCTGCAGAGTAACAGGCTAACTTTATGTTGCAGTAAATTTTCTCTAGTGAATTTGTTGCCAACATTCAGAGATCTGTGGTTTCACATTGAAATCTGGATTCCTGACCTATGGGAAGTTCTTGCAACATTCCAGTCATCATTTCTGTGAAGTTAAGCATTTGTTGAGGGTGAGCAGCAGCTGGTTCCTCTAGATATGGCAGGTGCTTAGTGCTCCATAGCCATCACCAATTCCAACATCTTGCCCAGCTAGCTTTACTCACTCATACCATCTGTAGGCCTCTGTGGTGTTTAAGCTTTGGTTCTCTTGACTGCATTTTATTCACCTCTCTATCTCTATTGTTAAATCATAAATAAGGCACATGAGTGTTCTTTATATCTATTTATATTTTTATTGTAAGTATAAAAGTGATGTACAGAGGGATCAGAGTTACATAAGTACATTTCTTTTTGCACAATGTCACATCTCCTCTCTCTCCCAGCTTACATAATATATATATATATATATATGGCATATATCATATATAAATATATATCAAGTAATTTTAGGTCTCAATACAAAAAAATTACTTTTTACTTAATCTAGAAATATATAGCATAAAACTTTGAAATAAAAGCTAGGTGTTGGTGGCTCATGCCTATAACCCTAGCTACTCAGGAGGCTGAGATCTGAGGATCATGGTTCAAAGTCCAGCTGGGGGGTGGAGGATGGGAAGGGATGGGAAGGGGAAACAAAGGAGGAGGTAACAATGCTTGATAAGAATTTTTCTCATTACCTTGCCCATGTAATTATAACCCTTCTGTATGGTATTTTCACAATAAAAAAAAAAAAAAAGGGGTGGGGGGAAGCCCAGCTGGGGCAGGAAAGTCCATAAGACTCTTATCTCCAATTAACTACCAGAAAACCAGAAGTGGTGCTGTGGCTCAAATGGTAGAGAGCTCACCTTGAGCTGAAGAGCTCAGGAGACAGTGCCCAGACCCAGAGTTTAAGCCCCGCTACCAAAAAACAAAACAACAAAAAAAAAACATTGAAGTAAGATTGGAAATTTTAGGCCAGGTGAAGAATTTTATTACATTTCACTCTTTCATAAAATTAAAAACAACTAAAGTATCTTTTTCTTAATTTTCATTACGGATAAATTAAGACTAGTGGTTTCCTAATCCAGAGAAGTCTAATACATTATTTAGCTATTTAGTTAGTTAGTTATCTCCTTAAGAATGCTAGGCTGTGTTTTTTGGGGCCACATACTTGTTAGTCTCCAGTCATATTCTGTCTTGTATACTAGGAAACCACTGAAGGGATTATTCATCTAGTATGCTATGTACTTACTTGGAACATCACAGAAAAAGCTGTCTTTATGGAAATTCCAGTCCACCTCTCTTTTTTCTCTTTCATAATGATCATCTGACCATCTATCCTCTCGATGGCTAAAATAGAATAACAATTTGATCTTCAATAAAGTTCTATTTCAAGGCCGTAAGTATACCAGCTGAAGTACATTGTCAAAGCCACAACCTATTTAGCACCTGATCTTTACTGTAAACAACCAACATTAACTTTCTCTGAAAGAAAAAAAAAAAAGAAATTATTCTTCATTCTACAACAATATCTTTGTAACAACAAAGACAAGTTAAATTTAGTGGCAAAAAATTCTGAGCTTAGCATTTTACTTTAGATGTTTTCACTCAGGCAACAGAACAGGATTCAATAGGAAATATTCTTTTTCTAAAAGCAATGGTTACCTTTTGGCTTGCTCATCTGCATATTTAAAAGGATAATTTGCTAATGTTGCTTTGTATCCTGTATTTTTCACCATGTTATTCCATGTGACCAGTCGCTGGCCTATTGCAGTCCCTCTTGGTTCAAAACCCTAAGGCAAAATAGTAAAGTTTCCATTAGTGTATTTCATTTCATACTAATAGTTATAACAACAGCTTTAGAAAGCAATGCCAAAGTGATGTATAGTCTTGAACAGAAATCACAGATGTTTGTCACGGCTACTCCAGAAGTGAATTGCATTAAAACAAGATGATTCAACATGATAATGATCACCTATTTACTGTGACAAAACATTTGGATTCTTTGGTTACACATCTCAGGAAAGAGAAAAAAATTTGGCAGAAGCTTATCTTTCTAATTCATATCCAAGCAATAGCAAATGCTTAGCATTAGCTTATAAAAACTACGATCTAATTAAATTATGTTATACATTGTTATACTGTTATACCCTGGGCCATATTTTTCTCATTATTCCAGAAGAATGTTTACTTAAAAACAGACCTTGCTCTTTGTAACACTAAAATTCCTTTAACTTCTTTTTTGGGGGTTAAAAAAAACACCTTAAAGCCTTTATGAAAACATTTTCTTAGTACCCAGATTCTCCAATACATTGCTTTTTTATCTTAAACATGGAGATGAAGAAGCACAATTTCTAGACTTTCATGGTGAGTTCCTTAACCTTATGAGAACCTGAGAATATAGACAATATAGAAAGAGTTGTAGACTTTCAAAAGACTAGAGGAAGTTTAAAAAGGCATATACAACAAATACATTAAAATGCTTAATTCATGGAGATGATTTGGGGTTAAAGAAAACAGAAAAGAAAATGCTACTGGCTCCTTTCTCCTTACCAACAGTGGATCAGAGAAGTCAGGAAGCTCTGGTACTAACACTCCAACCAAGGCGCAGACCACGATAAACACGGTACACATGCCCAAGACTACCACTGGCCAGTCAGCTAGCAGTGCTGCATAACTGCAAAGCACAAAGAGAGCACAAAAGAAGGCCTTTGAAAAGCAAAGTTGAGGTTTTCGTTACTCATGAGAACAACTTATTAGATCTATATATTTTAGACTAGTACAAGGTCTTTTTTTGGTCGGTCATGGGGCTTGAACTCAGGGCCTGAGTGCTGTCCCTCAGCTCTTCAGCTCAAGGCTAGCTCTCTACTACTTGAGCTATAGCACCACTTCTGTTTTTTTTCTGGTGGTTTACATGAAGGTAAGTGTTTCATGGACTTTCCTGCCCAGGCTGGCTTTAAACTGTGACCCTCAGATCTCAGCCTCCTGAGTAGCTAGGATTACAGGAGTGAGCCATTGGCACCGGGCCCAAGTACAAGTTCTTATCAATAAATAGGAATTTAAATGTTTCTATCACCAAATAGGATTATAAATATTTATATATAACTATGGTAGGTTTCAAAAGCATTGTCTTTTCATCATATATCACATGCTATTGAGATTCAGAAAAACATTTGTATTTGGCAAGTTAAATTTTACATGCATATTTATGCATGTGTCAAGAAAAAACAGAAATGCCACCCTTCATAAGTGAAGAGAATCCATCCTTTCTGCAGTCTCTTCCAGAATTTTTGTTGGTTATCATTTCCGTTCTCCATACTTTTACTCTCTGTTCTTTAAAAAGATATTAGTCTATAAACAAATTCATATAGTGTAAAACTGAAAAAGCAAATACTTCCCCTAAGCCTCTATCTTTCCCTCCAACTAAAACTATAATGAACATATTCACCAGATCATGAATTCCATAGGTCAAAGATGCTTGCTTGTTTATTAAGTGTCAGTTCCTATTAGAGTACCTTGTGGGAGGTGCTTGATAATAGCAATCAATAAATGAACACATCCCTGGATCCTCAGCACCTTCACCCTTCCACTCTCTAGCCACTGTAGTCTAGCTCCAGTCTCTTCCTATAGCTCAGAAGCTTCTCCTATCCTGGCTCTTTTTTCCAGACCTTTCCCAGACTCTCACACTCTCCCTTCTGTGAAGTCCTGGGCTAAGCCTTATTATCTTGACACCTCCAGGCTTTAATAGGAACTGTATGTGCTCCACAGAAGCTGATTAAAATGAACTTTGTCTAAACTTCAAAGTGTATCCAAAAACTCTCTAGTTTCTCAAGTAAGTCTTCCTTCCCTCTCACCCTCCCTTTTCCCTCTCTCTCTCCTGCCCTCTTTGTACCCCCCCCCCATTTGAGCCATAGCACCACTTCCAGCTTTTCTGGTCATTTATTGGAGATAAAAGTCTCACAAACATTCCTCCTGGGTTGCCTTTGAACCACAATCTCAGATCTCACCCTCCTGAGTAGCCAGTATCACAGGTGTAAGCTACCGGTGCCTGGCTATTTCTTGAATCTTTATTAGGAGAAAATCCTAAAATATTTAACTCATGGACCTGTATTCTCAAATTCTCAGCAATGTTATCCCATTTGGTTACTGTTATGGTTAGTTTTGGTTCATTTGAATAAGATTTCTTACTCATGTATTTTGCAATTTATTTTTTTCTAAATCATGCTACAGTTACAAACAAGGCTGATGAATATGTGTGTATGTATATGCTACTGTATGTCTCTAAGAATAGACTGAATTTTTTTTTTTTTTTTTTTTTTTTTTGTCGGTTGTGGGGCTTGAACTCTGGGCCTGGGCGCTGTCCCTCAGCTCTTCAGCTCAAGGCGAGCGCTCTACCACTTGAGCTACAGCGCCACTTCCGGTTTTCTGGTGGTTTATTGGAGATAGGAGTCTCACGGTCTCTCCTGCCCGGGCTGGCTTTGAACCGCGATCCTCAGATCTCAGCCTCCTGAGTAGCTAGGATTACAGGCGTGAGCCACCAGCGCCCGGCTTGAATTTTTTAATTAAATAAAATTGCAAAATTAACAAATTTATCAATATATAAATTACAAACTTAGATTTTGTATTTATTTCATTTTTTAATTGTCAAAGTGATGTACAAAAGGGTTATAGTTACATAAGTAAGGTTATAAACTTGTTACTCTTTCCCTCATTTTTCTCCTATTTTCTCTACCTTCCCCCTCACCCCCCCCCCCCCCCCCCCCGCCCCGGCAACCTCAAGTTGTTTTATATTCTGTATATTTATTTCAAACTATAATTTCAATAAGGATTTAAAATGTAATTATGCTTTAAGGGACTTGGCACAGGCACCTATTACTACTGTTCTTTTAAAGCAATTTTATAAAAATAATAATAATAACTTGTACTCAGTGGCATATTTGTGGTTGCTGTGTCATTACCATCTCATTAATTTATTATGTTCACCTTACTGATAAAACAGAGGCACAGAGAGGTTAAAGGAGAAGTTCAAAATCCTAGAACTAAGACCCTAGTTAGTGTGGTTTTAGACTCTGTCTCTTAACTACTATGCTTTCATCTTGCTCTTCAAACACAAGAGAAGGTAAAGACTAATGTGAAAGTAAAATTGTTCCAATGTCTATATCCCCATGTTCACAATTAAAACTTCCTAGTGCCACTAACAGTTAACTTCTTTGTGCACAATCACAAAACTATAGAATGCCCAGTTTAGTATTATTTATTTGACTTCCAATTCTGGAGCTAAAAACTCATTATGGAAAAATTATACTAGATAACTATTTAAGAACTGTGAACAAAAACATCTCAATCACATTTATGCTAGCCACAGCTTTTACACTGTAGGAACAAACCCAATACACACAAAACAACAGCAACAACAACAAACAACCCTCTTCTTGGGCTGGGAATGTGGCTTAGTGGTAGAGTGCTTGCCTAGCATACATGAAGCCCTGGGTTCCATTTCTCAGTACCACATAAATAGAAATAGCCTGAAGTGATGCTATGGCTCAAGTGGTAGAGTGAAAGCCTTGAGCAAAAGAAGCTCAGGGACAGTGCCCAGGCTCTGAGTTCAAGCCCTAGGACTGACAAAAAACAAACAACAACAACAATAACAAAAACCCCAAAACCCATCAAATCCTCTTCTCCCTTCATTTCCTCCTCCACTATGTTCACACTATGATGAAAGTGACTGGTTTTGAAGCAATGAAATCCTTTATGGTAGCATATTTGAGGCTTTCTGTTCATTATTTTATACTTTAAAAAGAGTATTTTTTAGACTAATAGAGTATCAGAACTGTGAAATGAAAATGGCTTCAGGTCTATATGATTATTCATTATACTTGTTTTAAATGAATCTGTTTTCTCTCAAATGAACAGAACTTACAAACATGTTATCAATAGAGGGCAAGGGGTTCCACATTACTTGTTTTTCATATTATGGTGTAATTTACCCATATAATAGCTTTTTGTTTGTGTTCTTGCAGAATGGGCACACACATGCATAGCAACCTGAAAAACCTCTTTCAGTAATTGCTTTGCTTCCCTTTGAAAACATTTGGTTTTGATTTTACAGTGCTGCTACATACCACATACGTGCACTGACTACATATGGAAATTTTATGGCATTAGTGACTTCAGCACATTTCTTCTAAACACATTTAACCTTACTATATTACAAGTCAACTTCCTCACACAACAGATGTTTCACACGCTGGCCTTTCCTAGACAACTGTTCACACTTGAGAAAGGTATCACCATCCTGAGTACATAGAGCTCTATGGGGGAGGGGATATGCCCAACCATTCATTGGATGAAAGTTCCTCCTAAATACTACACAATTGCTGTGACTATTTCTGTTCTACCTGACATCTATATTAAGATGGGCACTACATGTGGGCACTACATGAAAACCAATTTCATGTACAAAATGAAATCAAGACAAAGGCTGTAATATCAAGATAAAAACTAATAAAATGGAAGAAGTAAAGGAAATTTAAAATGGCCTATAAATCTTACCACTATATTATTTTTTTCTAAAAATAATAACTTTACTTCTGGTGAGTCTGGGCCTAAGGTATATCTTAAAAAAATGCCTGCATATTATGTTCTTTGAAAAGTGAACCATATGTGCATTAGGACAATGTTCTAAAGTAGCCTCCCTTTTACTATAATACATCCATCCTTCTGTACCTCAGCCCACCCACCTGCTCTAATTTGGGCACTATTTAGATAATAACATAATGTAACTGTGTAATAGCTCTCTGGAACACCTGGGGATTTGTAAAGAGTCATTTTTCCAGTGAATGGTGGCTGTGCTCCTGAGGGCTTGCAGCTCTACCCAGGGCACTGTTATATACAAGTTCCCCATATCTTTTCAGTTGGCTAGTTCTCAGATAGAACATATTGCTGAAGGACTCATCCTCCTTTTACAGGAAGAAGAAATAGAGGTAGAGAAGTAGTAGATGACTTAAATGTGTCTGTGGTTACACTATTAAAGTAGGTAGTGGGCATTTTGTTCCAACTGTCACTGCTGTACTGGGTTGGTGTACACTGGAAAGACCCTCAAACACACTCATTCTTTCCAGCCACCTTATTATTCAGGGAAAAGATCAGAAACAACTGTTAAATAAACCAAATGTCTTATAGAGCCAAAGTATATTAACTAACAGTAAATAAGGGTCTGTTCTAAATTGGCCACTTATATATTACAATAACATCCTCAACAGTAAATTTTCCACTTTTTGCTGTCTATTTAAAAACTCTTTACTGGGCACCGGTGGCTCATGCCTGTAATCCTAGCTACTCAGGAGGCTGAGATCTGAGGATCGTAGTTCAAAGCCAGCCTGGGCAGGAAAGTAGTTTGTGAGTCTCCTATCTCCAATTAACCACCAGAAAACAGGAAGTGGCACAGTGGCTGAAGTGGGAGAGTGCTAGCCTTGAGCTGAAGAGCTCAGGGACAGCGCCCAAGCCCAGAGGTCAAGCCCCAGGACAGACCAAAAAAAAACCCCAAAAACTTTCTTCTTTCCCTCCTTCCCTTGGAACAGACAGCCATGCTTCTTTGAGTGTTAAGTGCCTTTAACTGGAGGCCCACTTCTGGCCAATAGCCCAAAACTTCAACTTCTCTTAACTTGCCCTTTGCTCTCCTGTCTCTTCTGACTGCCTAAACCAATGGATAGTCATTGGTTTCCAATTCTCCTGAGCAATGTTAAAAACTATCCCTTCCTTCCTAAAAATCTCTTTTCCCTTGGTTTATTCCTTTCCCTCACCCTTAATAATGCTTCCTGATTCCTCCTGTCTCTCTCTTTTTTTTTTTTTGCGGTTGTGGGGCTTGAACTCTGGGCCTGGACGCTGTTCCTCAGCTCTTCAGCTCAAAGCGAGTGCTCTACCACTTGAGCTACAGAGCCACTTCCGGTTTTCTAGTGGTTTATTGGAGATAGGAGTCTCACGGTCTCTCCTGCCTGGGCTGGCTTTGAACCGAGATCCTCAGTCCTCAGCCTCCTGAGTAGCTAGGATTACAGGTGTGAGCCACCGGCGCCCGGCTTTCCTCCTGTCTCTTAAGGGTAGGCCTTTCAAAATGTTTCTCCTCACAGTGTTTTCAGTGACATCAACCATTAATAAAATGTGAAGAATGGCCATAGTTGGAAAATTTTCACACACATAAAATATGGTATAACTCATTCTGGTTAAGTAATCAATCCATCTGACAGCTAGCATTACATAGTAAGTTTGCAAAGTATTCTGTGAATACAAAGATGGAAGCTGTGGATCTTGCCTTCAAGGAACCTACAATCTAATCAGATAGGTCTACAAGGACCTACAAAATCAGGAAAAAAGAGATGTTATTTTTAGAGTATAATTAGAATGCTTTAGAAATTAAATAAACAAATAGATATTTCTGGCTTGAGTGGGAGGAACAATTAGGAAAGGCTTTTTAAAGAAGCTATATTTATATGTAGATATATAAGAAATTAATATTAAAAATATCAATCTGAGAACAACTGTAATTTTTTTTCAAGTTCTTTATTGTGATTAAATGATTACATACTTTCCTAAATTTCACAGTATTGTAGGATAGTGATGTTTAATTAAAGTCACAAACACGTTCTGACTTTCATAGGGCCAACTGTCTATTGTGGTCTATAACATTTATGAGTCCTGTGAGCTTTGACAACACAGTTATTTCTTCCACATTGGGTGATAAGTACATTTCTTTTGTTTTGCATCATGTCAACTGTTCCTTCTTTCATACTCGCTCCCTCCCTACCATCGTTGCTTGGTTTGTTTTGATCATGTCCAGTGCAGCTGATGGGTCCTGCTGCTGAATCAGGAAAACCCTGATTCCCTCCAGTTCTGTGTCCTCCTCCGAATGGTTTCCCTCCCATGTGCACATATATACCATATATGTGATCAGCAGCATGGGGTTATTTAGTAGTGATTCGACCAGAAGAATGGAAGTCCTTTGTTTCTTAAGCCTTGTTAACTTAGTCGTATCACCTTACGTTTTGGATTTAACATCCACTTATCAGGAGACCATGTGCTGTTCGTCTCTTTGCTCTTGGCTTACCTCGCTCAACATGATTTCTTCTAGCTCCATCCATTTCCCTGCAAATGCCATCATTTTGTCCTTTCTAATGGTTGCATAATATTCCACTGTATATAGATAGCACAATTTTTGGATCCATTCATCTGTGGTGGGAGAGCTGGGTTGTTTCCATATCCTAGCTATTGTGAACAGTGCTGCAATAAACATTGAGGTGCATGTGTCCTTGTATACTGGTTCCTGTTGTTCAGGATAGATGCCTAGAAATGGCTTGGCTGGGTCATAAGGGAGGTCAATATTTAGCTTTCTGAGGCCCCTCCAGACTGCTTTCCAAAGTGATTGTATAAGTGTACATTGCCGCCAGCAGTGTAATAGGGTTCCTCTTTCTCCACATCCCCTCCAGCATTTGTCATTGGCTGACGTTAGGATGTGGGCCATTCTGACTGGGATAAGGTGGTATCTCAGGGTTGTCTTTATTTGCATTTCCTTTACAACCAGGGATAGTGAACATTTCCTCATGTATTTCTTTGCCATTTTTATCTCTTCTTCTTTTTGCCCACTTAGTAATTGGTTTGTTAGGTTTGGGAGAGATTAGTTTCTTGAGTTCCCTGCATATACTGGATATTAATCCCTTGTCTGATATATTGCTGGTAAATATTTTTCCACAGTTAGTTAGTTGTCTTTCTAGCTTGGTTGCTATAACTTTAGCTGTGCAGAAACTTTTTTATTTTAAGGTAGTCCCATTTATCAAGTCTCTCTCCAATTTGTTGTGACCGCGGGACTCTGTTCAAGAAGTTCCTGCCTGTGCCTATAAATTCAAGTGTCTCTCCTACTCTGTCCTGCAGTAGTTTCAGACATTTAGGTTTGATGTTAAGGTCTTTAATCCATTTTGAGTTGATGTTGGTGCATGGTGATAGGCTGGGGTCCACTGCATGTGGTCTCCTAGTTTTCCCAGCATCAGTAGTTGAAGAGGCTGTGTTTCTTCCACTGTATGTCTTTGGCTCCTTTGTCAAATATCAGCTGACTGTAGGCATGTGGTTTTAGTTCTGGATCTTCTATTCTATTCCATTGGTCTTCTGGGTCTGTTTTTGTGCCAGTACCATGTTGTCTGTGTTATTATGGCTCTATAGTAGAGTTTGAAGTCCGGCATTGAGATCTCTCCCATGTTGTCTTTTTTTCCTAAAATTGTTTTGACTATTCTAGATCTTTTGTTGTTCCATATGAATTTTTGGACTGTCTTCTGTATTTCAGAAATGTACATCATTGGGATTTTAATAGGAATTGAATTGAATTTGTATATTAATTTTGGCAGTATGGCCATTTTCACTATATCAAGTCTGCCTATCCAAGAGCATGGAAGGTCTTTCTGTTTCTTGGTGTCCTCTGTAATTTCTTTCTTCAAGTTTTTATAGTTTTCATTAGATAGATCTTTTCCATCTTTGGTTAATTCCTAAATATTTTATTAATATTAAAAGTATCAAATCTGAAAACAAATGTAAAATTTTTTAAAGAAAAAAAAACCTGTTTGCATTTCCTGGAGTTCATTTCAGTAAATATTACTTTATATGATCAGAGGCATTGCACCTGTGTTCCTCCCGAGAGTCTCTTCCTTTGGGCTCACTGTGTGTGATGTCTAAACAAGCAAGCAAATCTTGTATAAACTCAAGCAAGCCTTTCTTGAGAAATGAACTATTTTTCTCAATGACATGCTTAGTCATCTATCTCTTCTATTTATATTTTTCAATTTTTTTAAAAAATAGAAGTAGTTAAAGTGTGGTATTTAGGTATAGTACAAGGAATATTATTAGGGCTTTAAACAGAAGAAATTCTAACACATGCTATGACCTAGAAGACATTAAGCTAAAGACATTATGTTAAGTAACATAAGCTTGTCACACACACACATACAAACACACAAAACAACCAAACACAGAAACAAAAAACCCTCAAAATCTGGGTAACTAAACTTATAAGATCCATGGTCAGAGTCATAGAAAGAAAAAGCAGAATGGTGGCAAGAGGAAACAGGATAGAAATTCAGTTTCGTAAGGCAAGAAAAGTTCATCTTTACATAACCATGAATGATGGGATGCTTGCACAACAAAGTAAACACATGTAATGCCACCAGACTGGAGTCTCTTAGAAATGGTGAAAGTAAGGGTGCTCTCAGTTGGTAAAGTGACTCCCTGGGCATGCTAAAGGACTTTGGTTCAACTTCCAACAATGTGCACACAACACGCACACACACAGTTAAAATGCAATTATGTTTCAACTACAACTTAAAAATATCATTTTGCATAAAAGCAAGGTTTACTAATGAAAATTTATGTAGTAATTTTGCTCTAATGAGATAACTCTCTTAAGGAAGATTTTGAAGTCATGAGCATGTGAATTCTTTAGCAACTTAATTTCAAAGTTCATTTGGAATTTCTTATATATAATGTCACCATAACTGAGAGGACATTTGATAATTTTTTGTTTTCAGAAATATATCCATTTAAAATTTTCTCTAACTAATATATAAACTTTAAAATTGTCAATATGAAAGAATACAGTCATTTTAATATGGCCACAATACTTTTAGAAAAACAAATAGTTCATTTGAAATGAACTGTCATGAATTTAAGTCATGGTGGTTAACAGAACAGTATCCTTCAACAAATACAATTATGAAAAGCCTATTTATTATAAGCACTACAAAATAAGTAAACAAATATAAATGATTAAACACAAAGAGAATTTAAAGCCTAAAAAAATCCATCATAACATTTAGAATACTTGGGGAGATATGGGATTCTTCAAGCAATTAATTCACAGATAATTTATTTTCCTTTCATAAAAAATATAAATGAAGCGTCTGGGAAGGCAGCTCAGTGGTAGAGTGCTTGCCTTGCATGCATGTGGCCCTGGGTTTGATTCCTCAGTACTACATAAACAGAAAAATCCAGAAATGGCACTGTGGCTCAAGTGGCAGAGCACTGTAGCCTTGAGCTGAAGAGGTGAGACAGCACCCAGGCCCAGAGTTCAGGCCCCACAGCGGAAACACACACACACACACACACACACACACACACACACACACACACACACACACACAGAAGGTGGAAGAGCATGTAAATGTGGGGAATCAGGAAACAGGAGGGGGGAAATGTTACTGAGTTTATCATTTAATAAGATAACCAAATTAGTTTACCTTTTTGGTAACTTGAAAGGTCTGGATGGCCTGGAAAAAAAATAAACAAAGGCAAATCAATCAGAAACAAAGCCTTGTATCATACATACAAGCACATGATAGAGCCTTAGACAGGCTATGAACAGTTGACTTGTCAGTTCTCCTATGAAGAATCCCAGAAGGGTTAAAATACACAACCATTTGAAAGCCGTTAAGCATGTGTGGATTTAACACTGCTAGCTGGCCACAGTGCACTCTAGTAGACAAATGCTCTAGGGGCTACAAGGGAGGCAGTACCTTCCTGGACCAAACCTGAATCCTCAGCTCCTCATGGACTCAAAGCTTCCCCAGCTTCCAGTTCTAAGATCCATTCTCCTTTCCACCAACAAACTTCTCATCTCCAATCTAAACTTCCAATCCAAGCCATTTCCTTATTCATTAAGGGAATCCCAACACTTAAGAACAAACACAAATATTCAATTCCATTTTCAAGAGACCAGCTGTCCTTGTATCTTGCCTCTCAGTCTTTAATACCAGTTTCACAATCTGTTCCAATGAACATGAGCTTGCATTTCAAATCATGTCTTCCCCAGGCTGTGCTATTACTCCCCCTCATTCTTCATACCCTGCCACCCAAATATATAGCACAAATTTGAAGAAATTCCAATCTGAGCATAGTGGATGTAATCCCAAACTGTAATCTCAGCACACAGGAGACTGAAGCAGGAAGATTATGAGTTTGAGGCCAGCCTGGGCTACATGGTGAGACTTGTCTAAAAAATAACTTAGTTGGAACTTCCAAAGTCTTTAAGCCTATCACATCATTCCCCCTATTTACTGGCCTGGTGAGTTGTTCTACTATTCCCAGTATTGTGATTCCCACAGTGTGATCTGAAGAGCACTGAGAGTTTCTGAAACCATTTCATGGGATTTGTAAAGGCTCTTGTCCAGTATATATCTGTGTAAGCCCAAATCTCCTCCACATACTTCATAAATTTCAAACAATACATTGTCTGCCATATGAGAATCTGCTGCCACACATCACAGCTTGACAGAAATACAAAATGACACCAATCTCACTGTTTGATATAATTATTTTTCATGAAAAATGTTGTTAACATGTAATAAGCCTATTATTTTTAATGAGTTAAATAATTTAAAAAATTCAGCTTCATAGCAATATGGTACATGTCAGTAACAACCCATATAAACAAAAATTCTTTGGAGTAATTGAGTGACCTGAAATCTTCTACTTCAAGCCATTACTCCTTCCACAGGTCAAACTTTACTTTGGAATTCTTGAAGTTCTCTTTCTTACTTTTCTTCCCTATTTATCTTTTTTAGGATACACACATTCATTCCTAAAAAATTACTTATCTAACTCCAACTGTAACTATGAATGAGACTAACAGTGTTCCTACCTTTTGCATTCTAGAATACTTTGTATTAGTCTGTTTAAATGGAAGATACATATGTTGCATATTTCATGCTTTATTGCATGTTAGCATGATGATTCTAAGCCCATTAAAAGTATCAGAATCAAGACTTGCCAAAATTTCAGAGATTGCAAGCTCTAGAAAGAATTTTAGAGAAAACACACTCCAGTTCTTTTCCAGTTCCATTTTTAGAGACCAGTCGGTTTCCCTTTGGTCACTCAGGACCTCAGCTGGTATGTAGGTGAGTGGAAGTGTGCAGACAGGGGAGAGCACTTGGTTCGTTGCATGAAGCAAACAGACAACCATAGGGCTGGGTGAAGGACTTGGAAGCATGCTCTATACCAAGTGCCCTGGAGAAACTATGAAGCACATTTAGCCTTTTGAATAAATCTACCAAAGAACTTCCAAAGGCAAATATAATTACACAATGATTTCTTAATATAACAGTACTATTGAGCTATAATTCACATACTACACATTTCCTCCATTTCAAGTGTATCATTAAATGATTTTTAAAAAAATATTTTCATGGAATTAGACAACCATTACCCCAACTACACAGAGACTTTGAAACTATATGCTGTCTGGACACTGAGGTTAATGCTATTACTGAGCTATTAGAAAAAGCTTACTTTCACAAAGGGAGAGTAAGGCACATAACAAGATTATGTATAGAAATCATTTCTATCTATAATCTTAATTTTTCACTCCCAGTTTTCCAGCTAGACACATTTTCAAAGGTACTTCTTGGATTTCCATGGGCAGTTAACACATTTTGCTATTCTTAGAACTCAAATATTAATTCTGATACACCATGCTGGATTATATTATACTAGGTATTTGAAATGATTGGTTGCTGTTTGATGCATAAACATTCTCTTATCTATCCATTTTTTAACTGAGAAGTTCAAGGATCTGTTGTGACTGGTTTAATCCCTAGAGATGCAAACAGCTATGGATTCATCACATTCTTTCTGTTTGAGCAAAGATTCACTTAATGTTACATTTGTGACAATATGTAGAGATTGTCAACATCATTTGAAAAAGAAAAATTGAGGCTACCACAAAGATACCTCTTGGGAAAACATCAGATCCCTTTGAAGTTCCTACACTAATGGACACGAGAAACAGATGTTGGAAACACCCAAACCACACTGCAGGTAGAGCGTGAAACCTGGTTGATTTACAGCTGCCTTTTTAAAATCTGTTTGTGTTTCTCTTCTTAGAAAACACATGTGAATGGGGGGTAAAGCAAGGAAATCATCCCAAACTTTCCTAGATCAAAAGTAGTCTCTATTTGTAAAATCTGTCAGATTTGCTTCCTTTAATATCTATTTAATATAAAGACCTATACCAGATGATCTTCACTTTAACTGTGTTAATTAACAACTTTAGTGAAAGAAAATAAACCTAACCCTCTATTAGACAGAAAAACCGTCTTCTATCCCCAGAGTCAAAAAACCTGTCTTCATCCCAAATGGTCAAAATGGTGTCAGTTCCCACCCAGCCAAACAAACAAACCCAAACAAGCAATAATTATTGTAAGTGCAATCTTTGCCTGCTCCTTCTTTCCTTAGGGATTTAGTTATTTCATCATTTCATGTGGAGAAAAAGCCTATGAACAGTGACCTTTGCATGTTCCCAACCTACTCCCACAGGCTGTGGCTGAGATAAGCTGGGGTTGTGCACAATCCCCTGACAGCAGACTACAACAGTCACTTTTTCCCACTCAAGAAAGAATTTCTGTAGGCAAGCAGTCACATTATTTTAGAGCTAAGCTCAAATCTGCTTTAGAAAAAAAAAGCACTTACAAACTCAAGTACTCATAGTAATAAATTGTCCCTGGCACTTCACGCTTGAGACCAGTTATAGCAGTTGAGAACCTTGGCCCCTGTACTCTGATGACCAGTGAACTGTGGTATGTGCACATATGTCACTCAGGGAACAACTAATGAGACTGTAAAGTTCTCAGAAAGAGCGGGAGGCACAGTGTGCTGAGATAATGGGAGGACATACAGAGGACAAGGGAAATTGTTGGAAAGGTAATAGAAAAAAAGAAATTTAAGAAGAGAAAAGTTAACAGCAAGTTGACAAAAAGGGTGGAAAAGTTATAAATGGTCTTTCTTCATGACTTTCACTTTTTTCTCTTCTAATCATTTTTGGGAAGACTGAGGGAAACTGTAGGAAGAAGGGAATAAGAATACTGAAACATAAAGACTTCCCTTCAGTCTGAAGGATTCTATTCTTGACTCACCTGCAGAATTAATACTAAGGGACAGTGTTAGGGTTGTAAGTTCTAACTAGCTCTTCATTTTTTTAATTAATTGATTGATTAAGTTTAGCTTTTAATTGCTATTATAGTTGCCTTGTTTTTTGTTTTTGTTTTGTCTTTTATAGCTTTATTTTTCTCTCCCAGAGCTGAGGACTGAATTCAGGGCCTTGCATTTGCCTGGCAAGTACTCTTCCACTGAGCAAAATCCCTTAATTGTTTTTATAAAGTTGATGTACAGAGGGGTTACAGTTACTTAAGTCAGTTAATGAGTACATTGTTTTTTGGACAATATTACCTCTTCCCTCCTTCTCTCCCAATTTTTCCCTCCCGTCCCCACCCACAAGTTGTATAGTTCATTTTCAACATAGTGCTTAGTGAGTACCACTGCTGTATTTGTTTACGCCCAGCTAACTCTTTCTTACGTTCAGGAAAATGAAGCCTATGAGAAATGGCTTTTTATGTTTCTAAACAACTAAGATGCAAAGAAAGAAATACACTCTGAACTTACGGCAGTCATGAATGAAAGCACATTTGAGTCTCTGTAGTCATACACTGGATTGTGCCACACTGTCTTTTGTAAGGGGACACTCTGCAAGTAATAACTACAGTTCTTTACTGGGATGTTAGGAAGAAAGTATCTCAAAATAACAAATCCACAGTTTGATGACCATACTTTACAAGATTTCCAACAAAAACAAAGCCATTCTTCATCATTAAGTATTTCCATGAATCATCACCGGCACACTCGGGCTTTATCGTGACTGTGAAGCAGATATCCTGAGACAAGCTAAGCTTGGACTCAAAGCCATTTTTCATGCACCAGAGCTAAATGTTTATGGTCTGTGTCAAGTGATGTAAAGTACGACATTAACCACAACTCCTTGTGTAATGCATTTCCTGAATGCTTAAGAGATGTCGACTTCAAAGTGCTGCTTATCATGATGTCTAGAAATAAGTGAACTGAGGCCCAACTCCTATGCCAAATAAGCTAGAAGGGAGGAAAAGGCTGGCAATGGGAGGTTCACATTGAAAGAGCACCTGATAAACACCAAATATTTTGTAAATATTAGAGAAAAGAAGTTTAGCATATACTTAATAAATACTTTGAGTATGAAGAAATCACTGTTACAAGAACAGCAAACTTAGAAATCAACTGACAAGAGGTAGATTTTTGAATCTGGGTCCTAAAATTTGTCAGCTGTATGATCTTTGTTTTTGGTGGTACAGGGGATTTAAACTCAAGACTTTACACTTGCTAGGCTGGAGTTTTACCACTTGAGCCTCACTTCAAGCCTTGCTTTTTGCTAACTTCAGTGCTGTCCTGTAAACTTTTCTGCCTGGGC